TTCTACTATGCCTTATGGGGTGCTGATTAGGAATCAGCTTGATACCAATGAATTTGGTTTAGTTTTCCAAATGATAGTAGTCTGGCCCTGGCTTTGATGAGGTTTCCCAGAAAGAGTAAAGAACTTTACTCTGTGGAAATCTTCCAAAGTTGCATTGATACCCAACCTCCTGTGCAGATACGCTCAGGGGAGCAGGTGGATGCTTTCTGGCAGGCAGGGATCATTCCTCACAGGTCTGGCTGAGCTCCAGGTGGCAGCAACTAAGAGGCCCCACCAGCCCCTTGAGCACAGAGACCCTGGGGCAGGTGGGGCTAAGATGCCAGGTTCTCACCTCCTTGTCCACTTGAGGCCAGTAATAAGGCAGAAGGGAGAGGTACCCACTCAGGCTTGCCCATCCGGGAGCTGGGATGGGTGAGATGGAAGCATGACAGAGAGAAGGCCTTATAGACCAGCAAAGTGTACTCTGTATGCCCCTGGGTTGGAGGGGCATGGAGAACAGCGGACATTTGGAAAGGGTTTCTTTGGAGAAGCATCTAACAGAATTGGCCCCATCAGGTGGAAGCCAGCAGGACCTCCTTATCCTAACCTTCTGACATAATCTCAAAGGGAAGGGAACTTCAGCTCCAAAGAGGCACTCTGAGTCTTCCCCAGAGCTCCACAGTACTTGGAGAGCCTGTGGCCCTGTTTAATTTTCACTGGTGTCCCGAGAGTAAGCCTAACTCTTCACTGTGCACTGTGTCCTGGAGCTGGCCTGACCTCCGTAAGAGGAGTTGAGCCACATCCTTGTGCCCCTCCCTCACTGTCCCTGCGGCCCTGGCAAGAGGCCCTAAGGTTCGGTAAACAAAGCAGCACAAAACACAAAGGGTCAACTCCAGGAGACAGACACAGCAACAAAAAGTACAGGGCGTGCAACAGATGGCGGAGGGCTGGAGCACTGTACAAAGGCTTGAGTTGGAATTGCCGCTCTGCCACTATTTACTATGAAATCATTATGAACATCACTGAATTTCTCTGAATCTTTAGTGTCATCATCTATAAAAAGACTCTTCTGACTCTTATGTTTCCATGGTCTGCTGTGAAGGATGGACATGATAAGGAACATGACAGTGCTTTGTGGACTCTTACAGCTAGAAGAGGGCCGGGGTCTCTCCCTTTAAGTAGCTTCACTGCTGTGGGAGCTGTTATGTCTTGCCAGAGCTAAATTTTGAACTGCTTTTTATCCAGTTCTTGGCTGAGAAAACTGATAGCCAAGGAGCAGTTAGTTTGTCTCAGTACTCTACGTGCTATTCGGTACCAACAGAAGCCATGCATCCTGCTCCACAGAAATGCCTTCCTGAGACTGCAATGTTAACGATATGGCTCTTATCAAGAGTAAATATCAAACCAAAACTCACTGCCATAGAGTCAATTCCATCTCACAGTGACCCAATAGGTCAGACTAGAAATGCCCCATTGGGTTTCCAAGTGTATAAATGTTTATGGAAGCAGACTGCCTTTTCTTTCTCCTGCTGAGTGTCTGGTGGGTTCGAACTGCTGACCTTTTGGTTAGTGGTCAAATGCCTTAACCACTGCACTACCAGAGCTCCAGAAGTAAACAGAAACACCAACAAATGACTCTTCAACTTCCACCAGACAACTGAAAAGGGTGTTTGCCACTATGCTGTTCACTGGCATTGTAAAAAGGACTACTGGTAAATTTTAGAAGTCAGCCTAAGGGAAAAATTTGCCTTCTCTTATGAACCGGCTCTACCTATAACCCATGGCACTCTCAAATTTGCCTCCAGTTCTACCAGCAAGCCCTGAGCTGTAGCTGACGCTCAAATACCATAGTTTTAAATGTTTTTTGAACAGTCTCAATTGCACTTACCACTTATTGTAAGCTACCTCAAATCATTTTTAGAAATAGGTGATATAAATACACAATATATAACATTCATTTAAACGAGAAGTAAATGTTGGTGAGAGGCAAGCGCATAAGTCTTGGCACAGAGAGAGGAAAAAAAAAAAAAAAAAAGCACTAGTCCTGCACTTTCCTAGCGGTGTGTCTTTGGGTTAATTACTTCATCTCTAGAGTCTCTACTTGCTCAACATTAAAATGGGGATAATGATGCCTGACGGAGGCCCAGGATTGAAATGAGAATTGGCTAATACAATGCTATTTAAATAAAGCTTGCTTCTTATTATTAAAGCCCTAAATTCTTTTCTTCTTCTCTTCCCGAGTTTCCCAGGCACCGGCTCCCATTGCCTCTGGCCAGGGGAAAACACGGGGCTGCAGCGTCCCCTGGGTTCTCCAAGGGGGCCGGGAGCCCCTACCTGCTGTCCGCGTCCTCCTCCGGGTACCTGTCCACCACATTGATGATGTCCAGCACCACTAGCCCCACGCACAGGATCTGCTTCTCTTCCATGAGGCTGCTCCTGGAGCGTTCTGCCCTACTGGCTGACGGGGTTCCGCCCTGGCTCTACCTCGAAACCCGAGAATTTGGTCCCTGCTTCCCAGGGCTGCCCTGGCTCCTCCTTCACGTCCGGAGCTCCTCCTCCAGGGAGCCTCCTGCCGGGGCGAGGTGCAAAGCAGTGGGGTGCAGGGGGATCGCAGCAAGGGGCTTGCTCCCGACTCCCACCGAAAGGTGGCCTCGGAGCGCAGACTACGAAATCTTGGTTCCCAGCCTTAGCAGGTTGCCTGGCCCTGCAGATGAATACGCCTCCCACTTCTCAGCCTTAGTTTCCTCTCTTGTCACGCAGACTCGGAACTAATGTAAACCTGTCTAAAGCTCGGCTAGGCAATCTCATTAATGCAAAGACAAAGTGCAATCAAAAAACTCGCCAGTTGCCCAGCCCTCTTCTGCACTCCTGGCTGATTCCAGACCCAAGACCCACCGGCTTGAGAGGGCCTCGAAGCGGCTACCCTTCCCCCGCAGACGAAGCCGCGGCTCCCCGGTGCCTGGTGCCCCGCCCCGCCCCCGAGGGCAGCCAATCCCAGCCCAAAGTTCCGCCCCCGCCGCGGAACCCGCAAGAGCCAGTAGGTGGAGCGGCGGTGGCCACGTGACCACGCCTTGCGCGGCGCTTGGGTCGGGGCTCTGGGCGCCTCCTGGCGGGTGCCGGCGAAACTAACATGACCCGAAGGCGGTTCCGCTGGAGCTCTAACCCCGGCATCACCTCTCACATTCAGAATCAGTGCTGGCAAAGCCGCCTCGGAACTCAAGAGGAGCCGAGCCAGGTTAGAACGCGGAGCTCCCCTCCATAGGCAGCTTTCTGCGGGCACTCCATCTCCTATATACTCCTGTCTATCCGTGAACGCATACTGGAGCAGAATGGGTTTTGTAGGGGTTTTTTTTAGAAAAAAAAAAATATATATCTTTATTCCTGAATAGTTTAGTATGGCGGTGGGAACCGAGCCTCCTCAGGAGAGCCCTAGAACCCATGAATTCCGCCAGAGGATCGGCTGAGGGAGCGAAGAGTGGGAGAATCGGCTCCTGCGCAGTCCGAGCCCTGGAGTGGGGACTGGAGGGGACCCCGGAGTCCCGCCCAGGCGTGCAGGGCAGGAGCCGCTCTAGGCTCCTGTAGCACGGCGGGTCCGGAGATGGCGGCCCCCCCAGAGGATGGAGGCGTCCAAGACGGCGTCCATCCCAGGCGGCGACCTTGGAGCCGCCTCTCCCGCGGGCTCTTCAGCCCGACTGACACTTCAGGCCGGTGAGCCTGGGCTCTCGGTTTACGCCTGTTCGAGCTCCAGGTCCCCGTAAAGCAAGGCTCCACTGAACATGGTGAGCGGCTCTTCCGAGTGCGCCAGCTGCCCCATGACCAGGTCGATGCAGACCGTGTCCCCTGCCTGCAGCGGCAGGATGAGGCTGAAGACGCCCAGAGCGCCCGGGCTCGGCTGGCTCTCCGCCACGGGCTTGTTCTCCAAACCCTCAGGCTCGTAGCCGCCGGAGTCGATGCGGGCCACGCCCAGGTTGGAGCGGGACAGCACGGCCTCCACTTTTTCGTGCCGATGTCCAGTTAGCACCGCGCTCAGCAAGTAGCGTCCGGCCAGTGGCGCCGTGAACAGACCTGGGGACAGGGATGGCAGTCAGGAAAGGAGACAGGTGGCGGGGCCAGGGAGGCCTCGGGAAGCCCACCCACAACTCCTTGACTAGGGAGGTAACCTTTTGGTCTTTTTGCTTTTTTTCCACTAGAATTTAAGCTCCACTAGGGCAAGGATTTTTTTTTTTTTTTTTTTTTGGTCTGCTTTGTTCAGTAGTGAATCCCAGCAGTGCCTGGCAAGAGTAGGCCCCCAGTAAAGATCCTGTTGAATGAAGACTCTTCCTCTCCACCTCCAACCCAAGTGAGGTGAGAATGAATAAATGAAGGAAGGGGTAGAGGGTCTCCCCAAATCAGAATGAAGACATATACATTGTCTGAAGAGGCAAGAATGATAACCTGTCACTGCACAGCCTCCTCCCAGGCTTACCTGTCTCTGGATCATAGTAGCCCCCATCGTTGAGCAGGACTCTGTCAAAAGGGACTGTGCCTGGTTCGGACCGGGGCAAACTCAGGGCAGCTGAAAAAGCCACCCGGGGCATAGAGATTGCTGGTGCCCCTTCCACACCTGGGTGGGGACAGTGGGTGTTAGGGTGGATGTTCTGTGCAGAGCCTCCCAGGCCCTTCTCCCAGATCTCTACCCACAGGCTGCCTGAGGCCTTCCATCCTGCAGGCCCTTGTTCAGGTTCTACCTTCTCCAGGATCCGATGAGAGAAACTTACCCTGTTCACCTTGGGGACCTGTGGAAAGAGGAAAAGAAGCAGTGAGAAGTAAGGCAGCTCTCACTAAGCCACTGAGCAAACCTCTGCTGAGTCCCTCCCGCTGTGCTGAGAACTATGAGGATTCCAAAGCAAGAATGGAGATACTGAGAAAAGGAGCAATAGGTAGAGCCATGCTGTAAAAGTGCTGGGCCATGAGCCCTTGCCTCCCCACCTTTCACACCCTACATAGCCCTTGCAGGCTCAGCTTCAGTCTTCAATACAGCAATGAGGCCAACATATTCAATTAGTGATTGTCTCAGCTGCTAATCACTTTCCTCCCACTATCAGCCATATACCAGTTGCCACTAAGTCAATTCTAACTCATAGCAACCCTATAGGACACAGTACAACATTGGGTTTCCAAAGCTGTAAATCTTTATGGACACGGACTGCCACATTTTTCTCCTGCAGAGCAGCAGAGCGCTTAACCACTGTACCACCAGAGCTCCTTATCAGCCATATAGGACCCCCAATTCCTCACCCCTTTCCTCCCTTCTCTGTCAGGTTCAGGATGGAGTATCAAGCCTGGGGCTGCCCAGGAGAGTCTCAGCCCACATACCTGGTGGCCCAGCAGGCCCCTCTTGTCCATCCTTGCCTGGAGGTCCTGGAGGTCCAGCAGGACCTGGAGGTCCCTGCATCCCAGGAGGCCCTGGAGGCCCAGCCTCACCTGCTGGCCCTATAGTGACAAAACTGCATTGAAGGAGAGCCATAAAGAGAGTTTCCAACACAGAAGGAAGATGGTAGCTCTATGCACAGGGGATGGATGAAATAGATGGGGCTTTGCAGGTTGCTTAGCTGGGGCCCCTCAATGGCTATGCTGTATACCTGGCAGAGCAACGTCCCGCCTCCACCCACAAGCCCATATGAGCAGCCAGAGGGAGGACAGGGAACTGGGACCTTGGATCATCAATTATGGAAAAACAATTACCCTCTGGCACAGAGATTGGGACTGTAATGCACACTGGGCAGAGCACGGAATAGATGAGATCAAGGTAGACTATTGTGGGGTAAGGGAAGGAGAAAGGGGTCCCCCACTCATGCCTTCTTGTGCCCCCTCACCAGTGAGGTCCATCAGGCTGAGCTGGTGTAGCCGATCCTCCAGGAGCAGCAGGGAGCTGTTAAGGACACTGAGCCGCCTGCCTAGGCCTGCCTGCCCCCCAAGTAGTTTCTCCAGCAGGGCTGCCTGAGTCTGGCTCGTGCTGTTGGTTTCCCGTAGCCCAGCCCAAAGCCCAGCTACATGCCTAGAAAGGCCCTCTCGAAGGCCCTGCAGCCCTCCAGCCACAGTGTCCAGCCGCTCACAGACTCCCTCAAGACGGCCCAACCTCCCCTCTAGTCCAGGGCACTGGCCAGCCTGTTGCTGTCCCTCCTCCAGGCCTCGGAAGCGCTCCTCACTCTCCGTAGCATGCTCTGTGGCTTCCTGCTGCAGCCTGTTAATCTCAGAGATGATTCGGTCCTTGGTGGCTCCCAGGTCAGCCAGATCAGCACCCTGGCCCTCCACAGTGGTCTGGAGCTCATGCAATGACTCATTGAGGGAGCTGAAGGTAAGAATGACCTCAGAGAGCTCTCCTTGTAGAGCCTGCAGGGCTGAACCTGAGCTGCCCCCAAACACACTAAAGCCATCCAATGGCCCTCGGCTTGGTCCTCCAACTCCCGGGCCAGCCCCAGGGCCTCGTGGGGGGAGCAGGGGGCAGGAGCAGCGTTCCACACCATCCCGAAGGCGGCCCAGTTCCTCTTGGACACCACCACAGGCCCCACAGCCCTCCTCACTGCGGGCCTGCAGCAGACCCTCCAGTTGGCCCAGCCGTGTAGCTGTGAGATTTAGCTGCAGCGTGAACTCTGCAGTTGTCGCATCCTGGGCACCCATGCGATCCTGGAGCTGGCCCAAGGCCCCTTGCAGTCCCTCTAGTGTGGCCTGCCGGGCCTCCCCAGCTGCTTCCAACTTGTTCAGGCCTGAACTCACCAGTCCCATCTGCCCCTCGCTGTCCAGCACCCTACGCTCCAAGGCACTGAGGATCTCACTGACCTGGGAGTCCTGCTCCCCAGGGGCCCCAGAGCAGAGCTGCCCACATGCCTGCACAGCCCCTGCCACCTGTTCTTCCAGCAGATCCATCCGCCCACCCAGATCCCCGCTCACATTGGCCAGCAGCCCCTCCAGCTTCTCTAGTTGGCCCTGGACAGCAGGCAGCCAGTGACTCAGCCCCTCAGCACCCCCAGGCCAGGACCCTTCCTGGTTCTCTAAGGAACCCAGGGTGGTGTTGAATCGGTCCTCTAGGCGAGAAAGGCGAGAGGCTAAGCTAGTATAGCCTGGAGGGTGGCCCCCTTGTCCAGCTGCTCCTCCTAGTTCAGTGCCCCGCCGGCCACTCAGCACTGTCACTGAGCTAGCCACAACCTCCAGCCTCCGCTCCAGCTCTGCCAGTCGTCGGCCCAGCTCTGGGGGACAGCATTCCTGAGGGGGCCTGCGTCCCAAGACCTGCCCAGTCAGCTGCCGCTGTCGCTCCTCCACTGAGGCCAGCAGCTTCTCTAGTGTGCGCAGGCGCTCCTGGTCTTCCTGCTGCTGCTGGCGGAAGCCATCCAGCCCGGTCAGGCACACAGAGCAGGATTCCTGCAGCCGACGCTCAAGCTCCCGCACCAGCTCCTCACTGTGGCCAGGAGGGGTCA